TTATATATATATATAGTGGTATATATATGTAGTACATACATATATATATATATATATATATATATATATATGTAATGTATGTATATAGCTCGTCAGGGGCTCGTAGGACCTCTGCTGGTAAACTTGCACTGCTTATGAGCGATAAGATAGATAAAATAGATCGCGTAAAATACACAGCCATGGCGGAAACATATGTTTAGACGCCACACTATGGGGTGCAAGTACGCGCTGGATGCTATGCTGATTGCAACTGTAACTTCTACGGGTATTCGATTGTATGGGGAAGGGGTGTTTAGCCCCAAACAATCAACCCTAAACCTTAAACACTCAAACCCCCTCTATCGGTCTCGTGGATATTTTTAGCTTTTGACGAGATATGGCTACAGATTGAGAGCAGTCGTGGACTTTGTACGCATTGCTTGTACTACAGTCACAGTATGGGACCAGACAGGAACTATATCAGGAGAGATTGAGTACCTGTCAGCCTGGTCGATGGTAGCCGTGTTCGTGACTGTAACATGCCAATACAAAGATATATACATAAACACAACGGCAGTATATATCTAAGACCCATCGGAATGCATACATACATACACATGGATAGTATACACGCATACATACACATGGGCAGTATATATACTTACGAACACATGGGTATTATATACATAATTACACATGGGCAGTATATACACATACAAACATATGGGTATTATATACATACACACACATGGGCAGTATATATACTTACGTACACATGGGTAGCATAACGACAGTACTCACTCGTGTGCTTACCTGTCGATAAGATCAGTCGTAGCCCTGTTCATGTCTGTTGTGTTTCGGTGCTTCCCCGATTTTCGACCGTTCGCGGGCGTGCCAGCACCCGTGGCCTTGGGAGTGACTCTACTTGACTTATCCTCTTCTGAATCAGAGCCTGAGAATAGAATTAGGAATGGAGTTGTTCCTAGAAATGTCGTGGAGAGCTAGACCAGGATTTGGCACATTATTTGAGGATAAGTGACTGTGACTATAAAACAGTACCATCATGCATCAAGGGTGCTTATAAGAGCAGCCGAGTTTGATAATATCGGCCGTATAGACTACATGTGAGATACGAAGATACAAATTAAAGCAAAGTCGATGTTAATATAGCAGAATCACACAAACACACAGACATGCATACACAGACACAGACACAGACACAGACACAGACACAGACACAGACACAGACACAGAAACAGGCTCTCTCTCTCTCACACACACACATATACACACACACA